CTAAACCCTAAACCCCTAAACTGTACGTAAACTTTCGGCAAAAAAGACACCCCTGCCTCTACACCCTAAATCTTCGGCAAATCATAGACATCCTAGCCCCTAAACCCTACGTAAACTTTCGGCCAAAACAAAATCCTCGTTGGGTGCAGGCCTTGGCATCCTTCGATTTTTCTGCCGAAGCGAGCTCAGTGGATTCTCTGAAGCGTGGTGCGTTTCGGGCTCCCAAAACTGAGCGACACTCTTGTGATAAGGGTTTAGGAATTAGGGTTTAGGCTTTTGATTGGGAGAGCGAATCATGACACAATCCCACCTGCCAAACTAGGTTGAGGATTTCGGGCTTCTACTTCGAAGAGTTCTCCCTGGATTCCAACATCCTCAACCTACACCAATGCACTAAAGAATTGAAATATTTTGGGGTCCATATAATAAGGATCCTACTACTTAGGTGTACTATATTACGGCCCCCTTTTTTCTCAAACCCATATGTGGCGCAGGGCTTTGGGAAGTGACCGTTCCGGGATAGCTGCGTGACGAGACGCAGGCCCAGTAGCTCTCGAATCCTTCCACTTCCTCAAAAGGGCAGAAGTAGTTAGCTGTAAGGCCCTATAGGGTTTAGGGTTTAGGATTAGCCCCAAGCCCCTGAACCCCTACACGATCAAACCGTAAACGTTGGAGTGGTTATTCGACTGTATCGCTACCACAGTCCGGCAAAGAAAGAGTTATCTGAACTGGGTTCCCGCCGTGTGTCCTTACTACAGGCGCGAGGTACTCTTTTGGTGCTTCAAAAAGAGGAAGAGGAACAACCCTACGGAGTGCCCTAAACCCTAAACCCTAAACCCTAAACCCTAAACCCTAAACCCTAAGCCGCAGAACTATGACATCCAAGGGTTGGTTTACAAGCTAACTCGCATTTCCCTAATCACGAGAAGGGTGTGAAAGGTACATCGGTGAGTTCTTTGGTTTGGCCCCACAATCCCTATATAAACCCAAAACCTGCAAAGCCCCAAAGCCTTAAAGCCCTTACCAAAACAAGCCGCCCAAACCTACCCTCCCACAAAGGCGGCTGGGAGAGGTAGAGGACGAAGTCTCCTTCGCGGGGCTGTAGACAGCTCAACAGAACATGAAAATGCTGGAACATTTGGATGATGCCGGCGCTCTATTTTGCAAGTTGATGGAAGGCTCCTGCGTGTTGAAAAAATTCTAACATCCTGATGCGACTAAAGTGCATCACGGAACTGATCAGTGCACATCGCCGTAGACCCGAAGCACGACAGCTCGGACGGCCACTGTACACTAGGACTACTAGTCCTAGTGGTGTGGAGTGGACATCAAAGATCGCCGCCCGATCCCGCCTTCAACAAGCCTAACTCATGGACAGCTTTTTCGGTGAAGATCGTCTGCGCGTATGCATCGAAATCGCTCATCTGCTGGCCGTCTAACATGATTTTGGCGGGCATGAGCTTGCTTTCTTTGTAGTCTCCCCAAAACCAGTGGTTCTTAACGACATCCTTCATGCGAAGGCCGTCCCGGGTCTCCGCATCGACTTGAAAGGCTCCGATAATGAAAGAGTGCTTGCCGTCGTCGCCTTGAGCATGAATCATGCGGCCGAAAACGGCTCCTGCTTCGCCGTCAAGGTTACGAAACTCCACCACATTCATCTCGTTAGCCTGTCCAACGAAGTTGTCAACGGTGAGTTCTTGCAAGGACGTGGCCTTTGGGTATTGCTTTTTGATTCCCCTCAAGGCATGTTCGAGCTTCGCGTCCTTGATGTCGACGATCCTGTGGAATTTCCAGACTTTGTCGAACCTCTTGAAGAGATTCGTAATCTGCGAGTCCATTTTTGCGGCCTGATACTGCAACTTTTGTGCGACTACATTCTGCGCCAACTGGCACACTCTGTGCTGGACCACGGGCCAACTTTTCTCGTAGTCCGGCTCTTTGCAGCTGGGCTCTTGATGTCCCCAACTCCAAACTTAGATGCACAAAATACACCCAAACTACCAAGTCCTGCTCTAGATATTTTGACATCAACCCAGAGTTCTCTGAAGCTCAGACAGTGGACCACGCGGTTTCACGCCGTTACCAATGATATATCAACACGAACTCTGCAACATACGTCTGCCAAGCTGCTGTTCATGAGGGCTGCTTCTGTGCACAGCATGCCCAAAATGCTAGCCACGCAGCGTAGTCCCAGCATTGCACCAGGATGCTATCTGGACAAATCCGCAACCAAGGATTGTGAAAAGTGGCTGCAAGGACATACTTGAGTGACAGCTCGCATCTACAAGCATTCCCTACGTGCTCAATCTGACTCAAGCAGCAGCACATGCACACAAAGAAAGGAAGTGCTGACTCTGTTTGACAACCTCCAGTGTGCAGTCCAATCGGTCCTCATGGTTGTGGTCGTCGTCGTCGTTGGCGTCGTGAAGGTTGTGACTGCTTGGCTCCTTGACGAACTGACCTACTCCGCAGTGTTGCAGACTGCGGAGCGATCCAGTGATGAAAGAATATGCAACCTTCAAGAATTTCCTTTGTGGGAAAGCCGGATCCCAGATCTCATCTTATGATAAAGTACAGCCGTAAAACAGGCAGGGCCAGTGTCTGGAAGTAGAATATATATGGCTTCGTAAGCATACGGTCGGCTGTTGCTACTATCCCGGCCATTTTGGGGAGGTTAGGGTTTGTAGGATATGGGTTCTTGGGGTGAGGGTTTTAGGAGGAGGGTGCGGGCAGTGGTGGAACTGGTGGATCTAGATGGTGGGCTTTGTTTGTAAGGGTGGGGGGCGTGGATTGACGTGGTGGGTTTTTGGTTGAGAGTAGCGGTTGAGGTCAGGGTTTGGTGGGATTCCTAGGGTGGGGTATGGGGATTTGGGTTGATTTGGTTGGCGGTGGTAACATTTCCCGAAAACGGGCAAGGGTTCTACTAACTAACACTCCCCCTTCAACGGTACTTAACGCGCACACATGAAGTCAGGACAAGGTTCGAACTGCCGCCCCTCTGTGGCGAGTGTGTTGGTGTGCAACTTCACCTCGGTCGGGGATGCGGGGCGACCGTCGTAGGCTTAGTGGAGCTGTTGGGGCTTCTGAACTCGACACTCTCTAGGCCCTCCAAAACGCCGAACCCTACACCCCAAACCCCAAACTTTACCCTAAACCTGTCCCCAGCCTTACACTCCCCAGCCGAAACCCGCAGAGCAACACCACCCACGCCCGAAGGCCTCTCAGGCTCAAACTCTTCACTCAGATGCTACCGGAATCCAACTTTGACATGCTTCGTTATCAACTCTAAACATACTTGAATATACTTAACAGACCTGACCATAGTGCATCTTTTATACACTGTACTGAACCTCCATCGCAAACCCTTCGATTTGGACTTAAGGTTTATGGTTCAGTGTTTAGGTTCGAAACGGATCAGGGGTGCACATCCCGAACCCTGAATACTTCAAACCCCCAACAGGCCCCATCCATTCAACCTTCGAGGAAGGCCCTACGCCAGACACTGCATCAGTTCTTCAATCAAACCGTATGCTTGGCAAATCCAGCGCCTTACAGTACGAGGGTTTAGGGCTTAGGCTAGGCATGGGCTTTCTGATTTGGGGTTTTAAGGGTTCATTAAGGCTACGGGTCGAGGGACGAATCATCAAGCTCCTCCATGGTGCGGGGAGTGGGGCTTTTCGGAGCTCTTGTAGCTTTTCGAAAGGGTTTATATGGGAGATCGCAACTTCCTTTTCAACAACACCACGAGCTCGTCACGCCTCCTGCAAGCAGAGAATGTCGACGCAGTGGCGCTTGAAGAAATCCTTTCTTCTTGGGCTCTCTATAGATAGTTGCAGATCTACAATATTTAGGCCTGCGGATTGAGGTGTCTGTTTTCCCGGAGGGGAGGGTTGTGACTGCGTGGCTCTTTCGTCTTTGTCCATATTTAAAGTTATATGATTGGAACCACAAGTGGATATTTCTGAGACCTCCATGTTAGGTGCCAAAATCACGAGATGAAAATTCTGAGCTCGATCCAAACCGATACTGGAGGTCATCTGCACGATCCTGAACTTGCAAACCCGAAGTTCTTTCGACACCAAGACGCCAATCCTGCGCGATCTTGATACCACATGCGAGGGCTTGAGGTAACAGCATTTATATTATAGGCAGGAAGACAACGCTTAAATGTATACCCCAAGTCCTACACCAACAGAAGCTGAAAAACTACTGGTCCGTCTTGGCAGACTCTCTCACGCAGGTCCTTGAAACCGTATTTCTTGAGTCGTTCTGCTGTTTGCCTTGGATCTTCCCAGTCTGGGATGTTTCGAAGGAATGTTGGTTATTTCGGGGGCGGAGTCTTTGAGATGTAGGATTCGGTTTTCTGACTTAGAGGTTTACGACTCGATTTTGTGACTCAGAGATAAGTTAGGGGTGTTGGATTAGGATTCAAAACCTCTGCATTGGAGGACTCGGCCTGGAGTTTTAGCTCGGAGACTGGCATGTACGCCTTCAAGGATGAATACTGATTTTCATAAGATGTAGCTGCATGTACTGAATCTTGATCTGACTCCCACGCTGGAGCCGCTGTAGCATCTACTTTTCGAACTATGAAGGAATGGGTCCTGGCGCGCCAGAACCAGGAATTCCAAGCCACATGGTTATCGTCTCAGAAAAAGCAAACTTCTTACTAGCGTGGCTTGGGAAGATGGACTTAGCTACCCGACGCCCTAACACTCCTCGACTCAAGCCCCAAACCCTAAACCCTAAACCCTAAACCGCAAGATCCTGCACGGTGTTATAGATCTGGCCGCGGTTCATGAGCTGCGAAGCATGTTTCCGTCTCGCCACAAGTGACTTCGGAAGCTCATGAGAGATTTTTCGAATATCTGAGTCTCAGACCCGAAGTCCCAACAAAACATCGAAGTCACGGTTTAGGGTTTAGGGTTTAGGGTTTAGGGTTTAGGGTTTCAAAAACCCTCAAAGCATCTCAAACCGGAGCCTGACGGATAGGTACCTCAAGCCCTAGAAGGGAGGCTTTGAACATCTTGGGGCTTCGGTGGCGCACTGTCGCTGAATGAGGAATTCGGGCTTAGGTGACACTTGTGGTCATTGTGGTCGGCTGGGTCTCCCTCATAGCCCAGCAGTACTAAGTCATTACGTGAGGGGGTGCTATAACCATGCCATAAAACAGATGCAGCACAACCTACGACAAAGGCAATTCGGCTTTTAGAGCTCATCGTCCTGGGATCTATGGGCCGGGGGTACTTACACACCTGGCAGTTCCACATGCAGTGATATTAAGACAAAGTAAGATATGACTACTTACTTCCAGTAGACCAATCCTCAAGAGTAATACAAAGGGAATCCCAGCACTATTTGTCCTTAAGTCGGTTTCCAACTTTTTGGGGTTTTCGATGAACCCCTAAACCCAATAAACCCTAAACCCGAAACCAATAGATATGACCACTTACTTACACGCATGCACCTACGTAGCTCGCACACCTTGCACGGCTAAGGCTCTTCAATCCGGCGACGTTCCAGCTGATGAGGTGCAAATCCGCACTCCGCGCCATGGCACCGAGGCTTGTGGCCGACGGTTTTGGGATCTTAAAGCTGGGTTTAGGGTTTCGGGTTCAGGATCTTAAAACTGGGTTTAGGGTTTAAGGTTTAGGGTTTAGGATCTTAAAACTGGGTTTAGGGTTTAGGGTTTCGGGTTTAGGATCTTAAAACTGGGTTTAGGGTTTAGGGTTTCGGGTTTTGGGATTTAGGAAAGTTAGGTCCGGGCTCGGGGAATGTGGAAACTAACCAGCTAAGGCCGCCCAAGTGGGGTTTAGATCCTACAAGTACTTAGACCCGAAGCCTACTTGGAGGTTCATGGGTAGTTATAAACAGGGTTATAAGTAGGATAACTATACTTATAACCCGTATTAGGGGACTTATAACCCTACTTATAACTACCCATGAACCTCCAAGTACAACGGGGGTTCTCTATGGATTTCAGGATAAAGGGTTTGGGCAGCGGTATCGACTTCGCTAGGTGCCGAAGGTGCACCGTTTGCAGTTCTGTGGGAATCTTAAGCATCAGTGTCTGCAGCCTCCAAATGCGGGTCACTGCTTGTTGAAGACTTCATGGCGAACCCTCAAGATACATGTATGCGTTAGGTGGACGCAAGAAGAAGATGGTCTCAACAGCGATGGCCTCGGAAAGTCAGGTTTAAAGGCTATCGATTCATGGTTTAGGCTGGTTTAGGGTTTAGGCTTCTGCGACCACCCTGAAATGCAAACTCATCATCTCGCAGGTTTTTGTCTTCTGGCCGAGCGGCAGGGTCCTATAAGGCATCGCATAAGCAACGCATGCATGCCTCAGAGGGTTGTGAAACGCGAAATAGAAGTAGGGGCTTGGGTTCGGGGTTATAGGGAAGGGAGCGAGTATTTATGACAAACGGTCGACGTACCTACCGACTCAGCTGAATGTCGCGAGAAAGGCACCTAGCATCTTAATTACGTGCTGCGCAGATTATGATTTGCAAGTGCCTTGGCAGCTTGCCAATCCCTAAACCCTAAACCCTTACAGCTTGAGGCTTGTAGGGCGAGATCTTCAGGGAGTAGGCTTCAGAGCATGGGTTGGAACCTAGGTAGGACCAATTTGGCCCCACCGAGCTGTCTACAAAGCTCCAGCGCAGCCTTTCAGAGACGAGGACAGAAAGGCCAGTGCCATTAAGCTGACATGGGAGTTTCCGAGAATTAGGGGTACCTTATTTTGGGGTCTTTATATTAAGGATCCTATTATTTAGGGTACTATATTAGGGTCCCCTATTTTTGGAAACCCCCAAGTCATTCTGATTTTGATGAAGGCGGTAAGCTGGAAGACTCCCTGCCGGAGGCCCTCGTCTCTATCAAGGCCGAGCTCCCCCTCAACTGCTTCCATTCTGAACCCAGACACCCATTTCGCATGCAGATTTGGGTTCCTTGTGGGGGTTAGCTTCTAGAAGAAAGCAACATGGTAACCACCATAGGTCTGTAGTGTAAGTCGATGATACCATTTTGCTGGAGCGGTCCGAGCGCTGAATCAGAAGACTGCTTCAGAGATACCGAAATTTCGGGGTCAGGGCTTCAGGCTTCAAGCGCTACAGCCTTAAACGTTGCACGGACCCTTGTAAAAAATCCGGTACACCACAAAGGCCCTTAGGGCCGGAGCTTCAGGGTCCGCTTGAGATTTGTGACTTTACGCTTGGGTTTAGGGTTTAGGGTTTAGGGTTTAGGGTTTAGGGTTTAGGGTTTAGGGAGTTTAGGGCTCTTCAATCTGGATATGGTAAATGAGCGAGAGTCCGTGATTTCAAGAGAAGTGCTTCAGGTGCCGTGAACTCGCGGAAAGCAGTAGTCGGAATGAATTCGGCGAACGACGTGAAACAGCCAACTTTGCGCGGAAGACCAACACCAGCAACACGATTTGCTTCTGTCTGTCAATCTAGAAGCCTCTTTAAATACGACACCTTCAACACTTCTGCTCCTAGACCATGAGACCCTAAGTACCCTTAATTTGGGACCGTGCACCCCTGTTTGAGGGTACAAGGAGGGTCCTGGCCATACTGTAGCCAGCATCATGGTCAACTGATGATTGCCTCAGTACATCATGGTGATGACCCAAGAGAACTAAACCCCACCCAAGCCTCCTACGATGCCGTTCCGCTCACATTGGGCAGCATACTGAGTATGCTGCTGATGAATTCGCAGACGTTTTTCGCTGGACTGTGGCGGGAGAGACAGCTCAACCTAAACCCTGAGGTTCAGGGACACGGATCGCTAAAACTCCCCTAACCCGCACACCCTTGAACCCCATCGGGCCTCTACTATGCTCAGCTAGGTCCCTACTGCTAATGCCCCGCTTAGCAGGTACATCAACGGACACGGAGTAGAACCTCTTGCGGAATATAGACTCCTACAAAGCCCTCTGCGAGACTCGCTCCTGCGTTCTGGGATATTTGCGATTTCGCTCACAAAGACAGCCTGGGGTCGCTAAAGAAAGCGAACAGCAGCATAAGGGGCCGAACTGATCAGAACAACAAGGTCTGTGTCTCGAGTATATTAGAGACACATAATTATATGGTGTAGACTCGCAACACCTCCGAATGCTTCGATAATCGAACCACTATCCCTGCTGGCTTCTTCAGGGTTGATAAGGAACAAAACAAGCAGACTGCCAGAAGGTTCCTCCAGTTCGATTGGCTCTGAGCCTTCTGAATAATAACACCTGTCCTGGGAATGTAAGGACACAAATCAGGATCATGTAACTGCAACTATACTACAAGAAGGAGGGCTTGTGACTAATTACAAGTACTTTTCAGGGGATTCCAATTTGAACTCGTAACCTGCCATGGCACCTATCCTGGGCTATCCACCACACTTCGTCCTGTGAAATATGAAACATGGGCCCTGCCGCGTGTGTTGAACACCGCGACGGTGCACAAGTGCTGAGAACTCTTGGGCGGACAAGTCTGGCAGCATCGTCAACCCGAGCCTCCTAGGCCCTAGACCCTAATGGCTCGACTCATAGGGTTTAGGGTTTAGGGTTTAGGGTATAGGGTTTAGGGTTTAGGGTTTAGGGTTACAAACCCGAACCCTCAACCCTAAGTGACAGGCCTCACACCACCTAAATGAAGGGGTTATTACTTATCGACCTGCATCTTGATTGCATCGGGGAGGCCCCGGGCCCTGGGATCTGAACTTCTAAAGATCCACAGAGTCACAAGTGCTTTCAATAAGAGGAGCCTGAAGAACTAGCATAGGCTTCTGGGGTATATGGCACAAGGACTAATTATTCCGACCCCTATACTGTCATAAGTGTATATATATATATACATACAAACTTAAGCTTGTTTACTAGACTTTCTTCTTTTTTCTATTGTTAATAATATTTCTTCTTCCACCCAACCGGCCGGGGGTCGAGGCACGAGCACGAATCGCAGACCCAAGCACCAAACACTGAAAACCAGGTTTGGGGTGTTGGGATTCGGGCTTGGAGTACAAGGCCCCATCATGAGAGAAACACTCCTGTATGGCCTTTTAGCCAGCTCTGTCGTTCTGCGCGATGCTGCGAGAGCTTTCCTGCCCAAGCCTATGAATATTGAGCAGGTCTCCAGACTGATAGAAGACGAAGGGTTCTGGGGTGCCCTTCCGAGATATCAGGCTCCTATCGCGCTTGTAATAGCCTCTCTGGCCTTGCACTTTGGAGAGGTGTGGAGACCATTTCAATGGCGACCTTGTGTCAAGGCAGGGCTGTTGGGCACGGTATTTCTACAGAGTCGAACTCGACATCTATAAATACGGCGTAGGGTTGCGGGTTTGGGTCGGGTAGTGTTGCTTTACCTGCGCAGATATTTGTGCCAGCACCCGCGCGGTCACCTTTACCTCCCTTGATCCAGGAGGCTTCGGGGGAAAACTGCCCTTGTTGCAAGTCTTGCACAATCTTCGCAACATGGGCACGGCCCAGCTAAGGACCCACAGCACCCACCTCCTGGGAAAAAGGCCTACTCAGCCTGAGTTGTCCTTGTGGGTGCAGGTGCCTGGGCTGCTCGGAATTTCAAGCCACAAGTAGAGCAACCGAAATCCCATCCCCACAAGCAGAACCTCTAGCGCAACACCCGAAAACTACAACTCGAGCTGCCCAATTCCCCCGATAATCAAGGTGACCATAACGTGCGAGGCAGAATGTATAGCCCGGGTTCATAACTTATGGGGGGGCCCTCTAATACCCCCCGAAACCATAAACCCTACCCCGACACCATAAACCTTAAACCCCGTACCCGAAACTCGAGAACCCGAAAGACAACGCACGAGTCCAAGATTCGACCAACGTCACAGCTCGATGTCGTGGCTCACGGCGGAAACCGTGCCAAGAGCGAGCCTGGGCTTTCAGGACTTGGAAAGATAGGCTTTAGGCGACTTCGGGGCTTTGGGCACTTAAGGTTCCGGGTTTGGCTGGATCAGAGCATTAGGTTAAGGGGGCCTGGGATTTAGCGAGTTGCCCTTGACCTGTGGGCTCCATCGTGGTTTGGGTTACCTTCATTTCTTGTACTGCAAGATGCTTATCCTAACCATGAAGCAGATCCACCAAAAAAAGGGAAGCCTGCGATGAAGACGAAAGATGGCGATGTAGACCCGTGTAGTCTTGTCGTAGCGATATCTGGCGTCCCAGACCACGAAGCCCAAAGGGGGTCGAGGGATCTCTTGGGTAGAGTCCGGATACTGCGGGTTCTCTTTGAGTTTTATGACGCTCTCAAAAAAACGGGGTTGTAACGGGTGTTGTTGTTTGAGATAGAACAGTCCGGAAAATCCCCTACATGCTCTATGCGGGTTTAGAGGGCTCCAAGATCTCGGCATGAGAGCTCAAAAGTGCGAGGGATGCGCTAATGTAGGGGCCTTGTAACGCTCAGAACAGGGGTTTTGAGGTAGGTTATCCTATAGTTGGAACTTTCATGAAGGCCATGGGAAATTACTCCGGCCCCTATATTGCTCGAATGGCCCTAAGCCCCGAACCCCACAGGGATCTGAGCGGAAAACAGGACTCTGCATTACTGTTGATAAGGGCGAGCACAAGAAGAACTAAAAACAGAGGAGGCTTAGACAGACACTAACCGCGCGTGCACATAACCTTGCAACTCCAGCAGCAGACAAATAAGTGTGGTAAATCTATGCATTGCACCTTTCCTTTCTCCTTCAAGCCCGCTAGCCCAGGCGTAGGCTTGAAGGTTTCAGCTCAGAATTCCGTGCCACTCCTGTGGTCCCTTCAGAGAATTCTGCGAGTCATCCTCTTCCTTTGTGCTTCTTTCCTTGGGCCGTACGTACAATTCAAGCCTTTCAAAGCTTTGTCTGGTCACTTCAAAACACAACCCCTTTCCGCTTTTGCTACAAGTACAATGCTGCACCCAGAAGCTCTGTTGCAAGACTTCCGGCACCTGAAAGCCCTCACAGAACCCTTGTAGAAGACTCCTTGAATCTTATCGAACTCCTGAAACGACCCTAAGAGCGAAGGGCTTCATCCTCTGCGCAGGAATAGCTCCCAGAAAGTCGTTTAGGCTCTAGGGTCTGGGGGATATATGAGCACCGCAATCCTCAGCTCATTCTGGGTGTTACCATGGACTTCCCAGCGGCATGCTCTTGCGGCTGTAGGCCACGCCGGACCTCAGGGGCTCGGAGTTTCTTCCGGACCTTTCGGGGCCGCTTCTGCTTGGGGCGACATCCTGTGCCATCAAGCTCTTAGGGTTTAGGGTTTAAAGGTTTAGGGTTTAGAGGTTTGGGGCTTAGGGTTTAAAGGTTTAGGGTTCAGGGTTTAGGGTTTAAAGGTTTAAAGGTTTAGGGTTTAGGCTTTAGGCTTTAAAGGTTTGGGGCTTAGGGTTTAAAGGTTTAAGGTTTAGGGTTTAGGGCGTCGTATTTCAGGAATTCAGGGTTCAGGGAAGACCATACAGCATCTTCGGCTTAGAGAAAGCCTTACGGTGTAGAGGCCTAAATACTTAGTAATATTAATATCCCCTTGTAGTACCTGTCTACTTAACTCTAGCACAAGATGCCTGGTATTAACCTTAAGGTCTTTAGTTAGGAATATGTCAATGTTGGACTGTTAGGACCCTACTCTGGGTAGTTTCATGAGAGTGAGATGAATCTTGAAAAAGACATATATTAACAAGCAGGATACATCATAAACAATAAGACACCAAAACCCACATGCCCATAGTACTTCAACTTTAAGCGGCGAAGAACCCGAAAACACAGAAACCTAGAAATCCCTGAAACCCTTGTCGGCAGGCGCGATTACTGCTGGAACTCTTCATAACTGCTTCATTGTCTTGAACTGGGTCATGGTTGCAAAGACCATATTCGAGAATCCTATGGGTAGCTCTCTAAAGTAGGTTCCCTTTTGAGGTCCCCACTATACAGTAGCACGGCACCCTTACAAAAAGGACACCAAAAGAGAACCTATCTTAGAAAACTACCCCTATACCAACACAAGGAGCATGAAGTACTGTCTCGGCCTAGAGTCTCCCTAAGCATACCCCGAATTACTGACTAATTACTCGATTATGCCCCACAGACCATTCAACCACAGACCCATCATAAACATTACCATGGGTCCCCTGATCCGAAACCCAAATGAAACCCTAACCCAAAAGCCGTGGCGCGGGAAGGGAAGCCGATGCCCTAAGGGTGCCAGAGGACCAGCCGGCCGCGCTCGCTTCCTTTGTTAGGGTTCAGGGTTCAGGGTGCATACACGTCTGCCTTGAGACTTTTGAGCTTAAGCCAGAACCTTGGAAGCCATCACGGCTTCAAGCATGTTCCTGAATTGCCGGGCTTTTTGGGCTTCTCCATGATCACTCCTAAACCCTAAGCCCTAAACCCCAAATCCCTACTTTGCTTCATTTCGGCCCAGGGGTTGGTTTGCGCTCCTTCGGAGTTGAGGCTCTCAGATGCCTCAGATGTGTACTGTGTCCGGAAGAAGTCTTCAAGAAGCCTTACTTGGAGGGTCATGGGTAGCTATAAACAGGGTTATAAGTAGGATAACTATACTTATAACCCATATGACGGGACTTATAACCCTACTTATAGCTACCCATGAACCTCCAAGTAGGACAAGGGCCAGGGGGCCTGGGCCGGCTTAGGGCGCGCAGGGTTCGGCACTCCATCCAAAAATCCCCAAGGCCCTGCTCCATGAAGATGCCATGCTTTCATCCAAGAGGCTGCAGTGTGGGTGAGGAGGCTGACATCATCATCCTGGAGGAGCAAAAATCCTACTCCCGAAGAAATTGATTAAGGTTGGAGTTTGTCAGTATACATATATATATATATATAGGATGTTAGCTACATAGGTTGGAGTTTGCTGTTTGGGAAGAGAAAAGTCATGCACCTGCATCAAGAGCCAGAGCCGCAATGGTCTCCTGACTTCGCGTTCATGCGAAATCTCATCGCCTTTAAACTTTAATCCCAAAGCCGACATACCTCCTCTCCCAGAAAGCCGGACACCCTCAATGCCCATCATCATTCCACGCCCGCGACTCAACCCCTTAAGCCCCACAACCCCGACAGCCCCAAAGACTTACATCATCTTACATGGTAAGTCCCAAAACTTGCCCTAGGCCTTACATCTCCTTACGTGGCAAATCTCCAACCAAGGTGAAGGCGCTTTTGGGACGTCCCCAACTGAAACCCGGGTGTTTGTTCGTTTGTGTTTTGAATCGAAGGTTTAGGATGAGGGCGTAAGATTTAAGATTTAGAGTTTAGGGTGTGCAGGCCGTTCGAGAGCCAGCGGTCTGAGGGCTTGGGTTAAGGCGGGTTTAGGAATATCCCTTGCCAGCCCGAAAATAGAATCAGTATAGACTTGATTGGGACCCTATGAAACCCTAAACCCTGAACCCGCAAAGCCTAAACCAAAACACCAAGCCTGAAACCCTAAAGCCAAAACCCTAAACCCGAAGCCAAAACAGTTACCGTAGGCAGGTACTGCAACCCTATAAACCCTAAACCCCACAGCCCCAACCCGAAACCCTAAAGCCCCAACCCTAGTCCCAAGCAATTCTGGTAATATAGGAGCCTTAATAATTAGAATTGGGGTCCATTATGCTATATCTATGATAAGGAACATCAAAATAGTATAGATACTCATTTAGGCCCCTACATTAGGTCAAGGTAGGTACCGCAAGGCGGCCTTGGGTTCAGCGGAGGCGTTTCGCCAGGCTGGACGACCTCTTCCGCTCTCTTCCAAGGCTTCCGGAGAGGGTCGGGTGTGCAAGGCTTCGGGTTGAAATTCTTGAAGGGTTTAGGTCTCAGGAACATCGGGATTGGGCTGAAGGGTACAGAACTTACGGTTTAGGATAAGCCCGTAGCTTCCCAAGGCAAGCAAGTTGAGGGTTCCTCCACCTTCGGGTGTCGGGTGTTGTGCTTTGCTGGACGGTTCGCAGATGCTTTTAAATCTAGGGTTCAGAGTCACGTGGTGTTTTGAATGCGGGTTTTGTGATGAGGTTTTTAGGACAGACTCGTCTTTGACATGTCAATGTGCATACATTCACATACCATGTCTCCCAGCATCAAAGACAGGAGTTCACATGTGGGGATGAAACGGGGTCCGAGGTTGCCTTTCATATGCCTACGCTGACAGGAGTGCAAAAATCACATCCAGTAGAGACCCCAAACCGGGCCATCGTTTAGAAGAGCTTGCATAATCCGTAAACCCTATAATCCCTAAACCCTAAACCCTAGAGATGTCTGCTAGGCCCCCAGATTCGCCGACAAGGGGCATTGTTCTTCGGCAGGGGTGGCTGCAGCATGACGTGCTGGAGAAACTCCAGCTCCTCAGTGCAGCAGAGGGGAGGATGGATGGGGTTTAGTGCAATGTAGGGGCCGTAGTAATTAGAACAGGGTTATGGGGTATTTTTACACTATAACTATTGTAGTAAGGAACACCCCCCAAAGAGTGTTGGTAATTATTTCGGCTTCTATACTAGGGTTTAGGGCTGTGGCTTGAGATCAGACCTCAGCTCTTAACTTATAGCTTCAGGAACCAGAAAGGCAACGGCACAATGGGTTTCGGCGCAAGCGAATCTTGAAACCGATCGGTCTATGCCCTCTTGTGTGGCGGCTAGTTGTCGGAATTGAGGGTTCGAGGATGTCATGTGGGAGTGTCCTAGAATAAGGGGTACCTTATTTTGGGGTCCTTATAATAAGGATCCTACTATTTTGGGTGCTATCTTAGGGCCCCCTATTTTCGGAAACTCCCATGTAGTGTCTGAGCCATTGAGCCTGGAAGTTTCTGAGGGCAAGGCTTCTACAATCGACTGCAAAGGTGGGACCCGCAAACCCTAGACTGGACACCCAAGCCACTGACTAATTGTCGAAGAACAGCAGCCTACCACATAGGTGACTGGGCTTCAAGGACGACGGGAGAAAACTCAACGCCCGGTTTGGGGCCCAATAGGACGACTCGAGAACTCGGCGCCTTGGCTTTCGGACAAAGGGTGTGCTTTGTTTGGGGCTTTAGGTCCGTGTAAGTCTACGGGTTCCGGTCTAGGGTTTCATTCATGTAGGGCAGGGTGGTAGCCTTGGAACTTTGGAAAATCTTGTGCTAAAGCTCCACGCGAGGGCCTGGGGCTGCAAGGTTTCAAAAAATAAAGCACGCCCCCACAAGAAAACACTCTGAGCCCTAAGCCCTTAACCCGAAGTCACCAAGTACCTAAAATGCGAGCCCTCTTCCATTTATTCACGCCCCTACATCAAGCCGAGCCAGGGCACGCTGAGCGGACCGGCCTGGGACATGCGTCTGAGGACGTGCCTTGGGCTCAAGCAGTGATAACATCAATCCAGGAGCAGTTTAGGGTGACTTGGGAAGTAATGTAGGGGCCTTCATAGTTAGAATAGGGTTTTGGGGGTTCCTTTATGATAATTATATAGTATCTATAAGTAGAGTATAATGGACCGCCAAACCATATTCAAAATATTAAGGCCCCTGTGGGAAGTTTAGGGTTTAGGGGTTGGGCTTTACTAGGGCTCCGGGCTTTTCTTCTTCAGGGCTGTTGCAAGTTGTATGCTCTTTCAAAACTCGAACGCTGGAGGGTAAACCCTGAACCTCAATCCCTGAACGTATATCGGGACTGTTCCGTGAATTCCTGAACAGTGACCCCAAAGGGTGCAAGCACCAACATAGTAGCTTCTTGGTAGATATTTGGGCACCAACAGTATATACTATACTATTACTTGGACCCTTCGGGGACTCGAATTAGCACTTTGACAAGGAATCTCGTCTCGAGTTCCTTGGCAGTATATGGGCCTTCCTCCAAACCGGGGTCCGTAACCCTAAACCCTAAAACCCTAAACCCTACAACCCTAAAGCCCTAAACCTTAAACCCTAAAACCCTAAAACCCTAAACCCTAAACCCTAAAATCCTGAAACCCTAAAACCCTAAAACCCTAAAACCCTAAAGCCTAAACCCTAAACCCTAAACCCTAAAACCCTAAACCCTAAAACCCTAAACCCGGACCCGACGTCCCTCCTCTGGAGCCTAAGCC